AGTCTGAAGAGGACTTTATAGCTTGCTACTGGACATGTGGGCTAATATCGGACGTATGGACTTGATCTGGACTGGGCTGGGATGTTTCCTCAATGTTCAATTGCTCTTGTATATAAATCTTTCTTATACACCTATGTGGCTGTGTTTCTCTAGTTTACCCAGACTAACACACATGGATCTGCTGCTCGCTGGAAGATTACTCTGCCCAGACCTGCAAGCACCTGGTCCCCTAGGGTGGGGCAGCTGCTGTCCACCCGGCTGCCTTGGCTAGACAAAGACCACCTGCAGTGGTGACCCTTTAATCCAAAAGACGATATGCCTTCTTTTCTCCCATTAGCTCCACCAGTCTTCCTGGACTTGTCCACACTGGCTATTTGGGGGGCATGACAAACATCCACATCTGTTATTCCTTTCCCTACTGAGCTGCTCAGACACGGAATCTCTGGCATTTCTGTCTCTCCCTTTGGCAGTCCCTGGAATCTCCCAAGGGGGTGCTTCTTTTCCTCCGTCTCCTTTCAATGCTGGTCTTCAGCACTCTGGCTCAGCTGTGCCTCTCGTCTCGCTCTGGGCCTCTCGGCAGCAAGCTCACCCACCGTTCTAGCTTCAGTCACCCTCCATCTGCTCTCTCTCCTTGCTTAGAGCTCTCTCTGGGCTCTACCAGGATTCATCAGCTCCCCATTTTGACACAGACACTTGGGAGCCTCCATGAGCCTCCAACTCATGATTACCCCAAGCAAACGGCTTCCTCAGATCTGTATTCCTGAGAGGAAGACCCATCCCTTGCCTCCTGCCACCTCCTCCCCACCCTTCAATAAACAGCTGTTACTCAATGGGGACTCAGTGGGTGAGTCTTGCCAACGCACCTGATGTGCACCCTCCAGCCCTCGGTCAGCGGAGGCTTGCGTGGCTGTGGTGATGCTGCAGGGCCATCGGTGGGGCTTCCCGACTAGGATGGCCTATGAAAAAGGCCTGGAAATCTATTTCTGAAAATCAGCCCCAAATAAAAGCCCTATGGATCACAAAGGTCCCACTCACAACTGCCCACAGGGATGGGCCAGGAGGGGGCAGCGTTGCATTCTATGGCACTTCAGGTGGTGCTGAGTCGGGGGCCAACTTGATGCCAGCGAACAGCGACGACGTCCCCCTCTCAAGTCACTGCGTGCCGTCCAGGTGATCCACACGCACAGACACACCATCTGACAGAGTGGAACTGCCCGGCGCGTTTCTGATCAGAGCAGAAGACGACGGTAGTGTACTGTCCCTACAGGTGTGTGTGTGGGGGGCTGGTGAGTTCCAACTTTGGGTTAGCAGCCAAGTACTGAGTCCACTGGGCTGCCCAGGCTTCCAGCTCGCTCTGACAGGCGTCTTGGATTCCAACACTTCCTGTGCCTGCTGTTTCAAGAGTGATTCCAAACCAGAGCCTGGGTTGCTCTGGGAACTTCCTAACTCTTCTCCCTGCCTCAGTTCTTGCTCCTGGTTCGCATGTCTGTTTCTGCCCCTCTAAACTGTTTTGCTGAGAATATGCTCGGTGAGACACACACCGTCCCCACAGGTGCTGCCTATCAGTGACAAAGATCACAGTCCTCACGCTCCTCTTCGGGGTTGTCCTGCATTCATGGACGTACACTCCCTGCCCCCTCGGGTTCCTGTGGACCTTTCAAGCTGTCCACTGGACCATCGAAGGTCATCCTTCAAAGAACCGAATACGCCAGCTACACCCGTTTTATTAGGTAACCGAAACGACTCTTCAGTTGTAAGATAACTTCAAGGGCGATTTTCTTCTTAATAAAACCAGGCTATGTTTTATCAAACACAAGCCACTGGGGACAGCCCCAGCACCGTTGCTGGTGGCCCCAGGGTGACTGTGGAGATGGGGAGGCCATGGCCTCTCCATCCAACCTCTCTGGGATCCTGGCTCTGCAGCTACTAACTGGTAACACCGACACTGGTGCCTGACGTCTTAACACCCGTGTTCTCATGTCTCTGTGTTCAGTCTCCTTGTCAGTCACTGGGGTGGTGACGATGAAGCGGCTTGTTCTGGGGTCAGTTGAGTCAATCTATGGAAAGATTCCAGGGTAGACTTTGGCACACAGCTGTTCTGTAGGCGCCTGGGCATCTCTTAATCACAGTCAAGGTGGTAGAACCTCCAGTTCCTTCTCACCTCTTCCCAATACCTTAGTATTCCTTCGGAGCCCTGTAGATACTCAGTCATACTCCACGCACCCTCCCCCACCTCTCTGAATCTTAAACATGCCTGGTAACCAAGTTGCTGCTTAGCGCCTGCTCATCCTTCAGGCTGTCACTTCTGAGAAACCGTTGCTGAGGGCCTGGTTGGAGTGACGGGCTTCTAACGTACAAGGGTGCCCCTGGGCTTGTTCACTCCCCCTGGAGATGAGAATCACAGGGAGTAACGGGGTGATGCCCAACTCAGGCACTGATCTGTGCCTCGTACGGGGCAGTTATCAAATGAGTGGGTCATTGTGAACAAGAACAAGATGAAGGCGCATCCTCAAATTGCTGCCAACATACAAGGGGGTACACCCCCAAACGGTAAAAAAGCTCTGCTGATGTGGGGGGGATAGTGCATTTGGAGTTTGTTCCAACAAGTCAGGCTGTTAATCAAGCTTTCTATTTAGAGGTTCTGAAAAGGGTGGGTTACAGTTTGTGACCAAAAAAGACCTGATTTGGGGTTGATGGGGGACTGGTGTTTCCACCACGACAATGCACCTGCTCACGTAGCCATCTGAGTGCATCAGTTTGGGGCAAAAGCCAGCACGCTTCTCTTGTCCCACGCACCTTACTCACCTGACCTTGCTCTGTGTGACTTCTTTTTGTTTCCATGAATGAGGAGGGACACAAAAGGACAGTGGTTTGAGGATGTAGAACAGGTGAAGAAAAAAATGAGAGGTGCTGCCAACTGTCCAAACAGATGAGTTTGAAAAATGTTTCCAAGAATGAAATAGCAGATTTGACAAATGTATTAAGTGCAATGAAGAGTACACAGAAGGTGATGAGGTTTTGTTAAAATATTTAAATACATAGCTTTGAAAAAGAATCCATTTTGGGGATGAGGGGTACCCCCTTGTAGCCCAGGAGCTGAGAGCCAAAGATGGTGTTAAGGAAGAAGTCCAGACTGCAGGCAACCTTGGTTCTTATCCACACTCACAAAACACTCTGTTTATCTTCCAGCCACACAGTGTGGGAAACAGCCCCAAAACAGAATGAGGGAAAGATATAGGTGAACCGGCCCCAAACACTGCTACCACAGGGCCTGAAAGCAAGCCCCAGTGCCAGTCAGGGGTGGCTCAGCTTTACAGGGATATGGCGGAAGTGGGCAGTCTTTACTTTTATACGATGTCACTCTCTGTCCTGTCTGATTCTTTAGTTTGGAAGCATAAACTCTATCAGGAACCACCAGGTCTGGAGACGTGCCATGTGGGCCAATGGAGCCAAGCTCACTCACAGAAAGCAGGCAGAGAGAGGCCCACATGTCCAAGGCCATCCCTTCCCAGGGAAGCAAGTTGGGTCGTTATTACTCTTCTGTTCCCAATTGCTCACAGTCTACCACCTACTCCGTTTATGCCCGAATGGGAGCCTAGCCTTTGGTTTACTTCTTTCTGACGTGGATGGGAAGAGACCTAGCACATTCCTTCCCTGCCTGCCCCGTGGCACCTCCAGCCCCTCCACCCCCCAAGGCCAGTTACCTTCTCGAGGTCTGGTTCCTCTAAGGCCAGTGCTAACTCATTGTTGTCCATGACGGAAGACGCTGCCACATCCAGCGGGGTGTACCCTCTCATGGACGGGGAGGCTGAGGAAGAAAGAGAGAAGGAGCCAAGAAAAGGACAGAGGCCACCCAGTGCTAAGCGAAGGTTGCAGTACATAGAAATGAACAGCAGAGGGCGGCAAACACTGAAACCTGGGCCACAGCTCTGGTCTTCAAGGGGGCAGCTTGACACAGTAGGTAACGGGACACCCACCAGCTCTCTTTGCTAACCTCCATCCTCACACTACTTACTGAGGGAGAATATGGAATCGTGAGGAAATACAAGATCTTCTCTCAAGACCTATTTTGCTTTTCCTTTTTTTATTAGATGAGATTGAAGACATATAGACGACATATTTTCAAGCCCTTTCTAAAAACAAGGCTTCTTGCGACCCCCTTGTTAGCAATCCGCATTTATGACCGCTTTTCACAAGTGGAGACAAAGGACCAACACAGGACGTCCACACAAAGGACTCAGGCACCCTGTGACCAACTCGGCTCAACACCTCGGCTTTTAAAACAGTGCCCATCCGCCTGAGAGAGACACCAGGTCACCCGAACCGTCCGTGATGGCTTTCGTTAGTCTATCTCCTGTGGTCCTTCTGAAGAGGTTCCCGGGTTAGAATGACGAAAGCGTTCAGGTGCTGTAACATGTGATCGTCCCAGGCGGCATTGGATACGTGAAAAACAAAAACAATGGCTTTAGATAACAGGAGCTGTGATTGCCGCTGCCACAAATTCCTGCGCTCTCCGTCCAGAATGATGAGTAAGGCGCATGCGCCGGCAGTTGCTCTTCCAGGGGTCATGGTGATGGATTTATGCTATTCTTCCAGAGTGCTCCTGGCCAGCTCAACTCACAGTTCAGGAAGAACACTTGCTGGCTGGCCGGCTGGCCGGCGGGACAGGCACGCAGTCTGCAGCCAGCATCCAGCCTGCCAAGAAAGGCTTGGATCTGTGACCTTGGTCTCACAAGCACTGGCCCTGCTCATTAGCCAAGTGGACGTGGAGGAGTCTGTGTGCCCAGACTAGCTCTGCAACCCCACAGAAGGGTTCTAAGGCCTGGGCCGTGCGTCCAGGGAAGATGAGGTAAGCGGTAGGCATACGCCCAAACGAAGCATCACCAGTCCTGGCTGGTAACAACAGCTTGGCCCACATAGAGCAAAAAGATAAGAGCATCCTTGTTTCTCTTGTTCTTAGATCTGTGGGATTTCTCTCTTGCATTCACAAGTACTGTTGCAGGCCCAGACAGAAGCCTCGTGGTGTGGCTGCACACACAAGGTGGGTCAGCAGTTGGAAACCACCAGCGGCTCTCCGGGTGGAAAGAGGAGGCTTTCTACTCCAGTGAAGGGTTACGGCCTCAGAAACCCTTGGAAGCAGTTCCATCCCATCCTACTGGGTCACTATGGGCTGGAATCAACTCCACAGCAGTGATTTCTTTTCTAACCCCGGAGCTGCATGCTGCTAACTGCTGTCTCTCTGTCTCCCAAATGGCCAGCAGGGGAGCGAGTTGGTCAGTGAAAGTTACAACATGACTTACCCAGGCCCACACTGCTGTTTTCCAGCAGGTAGCTCAAGTGCTC